ATTCACAATAATCTGTATTTTTTCTCTTAATCATGTATAGGTAGCTACCTGAAATAGCATTATTAATTCTTAATCTGCACATTGTTCTTACCCATGTTCTAAGAGCTTCGCTATTACCAAAGCAGAGTTCCATTGTCCCAGTGGGCAGTGAGATTTATAAAACATCTCTTTTTCTTTCTTTTTTTCATAAATTTCCTGTCATTCTGTCTTCATAGAAATTTTTAATTCATTTATGATGCCTGAAGGTATGAAATATTTATGAATCTGTCTTTTGTTTCCTTCGCTAAGTAATCAACTGATGTATTGCCTTTAATTCCTCCGTGGCCCCTAACATCATGTTCTATTTGTTTCGTTTTTTTATCAAAAATACATAATGTATAAATTTTATATAGATTATGATACAAAAGCATATTACTGTATATAGAATAAACATCAAAACTACAGCTTCTATAGCATGCATACTCCTGCCTCGAGGTACAGTCAGGTTTATCTTGAGAGGTCACCGAGGCACCTGCTAGCAGTTAACACGCGGTCAGTTATGTTGTGGTTCATTAGCTTAGGGAACAGCTTGTACTTCATTACTTCGTACGATAAGCACTGCTTCTTACAGGTGAGTTATAATGAGCTAATTAATAACGGCGACTTTTCATAATAACCGTTCGTAACAATAATTTATATTTGCTCGAAGTTCATTACTTCAATTGGTATAATTTCGTTCTGTGGTAATGTTTATACAGGGTGCCTTAATTCTCAATGGCAAAACTCTGAGGATGATTCTAGACAAAATTTCCTACAAAAAATTCTATTTGATGATTGGCCCGGTTTCGAAGAAAAAATGTGTTAAAACCAATTTTTTTTTTAAGGTGGTCACGATTTTTATTGAATAAGTAGAAATTGCTCAAAAACTGCCCAAGATAATTAAATTCTAAGGACACCATCGTAAACTAGACAATTTTGTTTCGTAAAGTCGACAATGTTCAGATCTCCTGAAGATCCCTTTTATCATTGACCTTAGTAAATTTAATCACTGTTTTCTTAAAGAAATTTTTTTCTACTTTACGATGATGTACTTAGAATTTAATTATCTTGAACAATTTTTTCTTATTAAATAAAAACCGTGACAACCTTAAGAAAAATACAAAAATTGGACTTACCTCCCTTTCAGTTCGGAATCGGTCCATGCATCAAATGAACTTTTTTGTAGGAAAATTTGTCTGGAATCGCATCCTAGAGTTTGGGCATTAAAATCTGTGACACCTTGTATGTTTTTGAGCATAGAAATTGAAAAGATTTCAGCCATTGAAGAATGGTTTCAAAATTGAAGAATTAAAATAAATTTAAATAAATCACAGTTACCCACCGTCGTAAACCTACTACATTCTGTCCTACAATATTCTTTAATAATACTCCACTCAGCCCTACCCATAAAATCCGTTACTTAGGATTGCATATTGATAAACGTCTTGCTTGGAATCTTCATACTAGACTGAAATGACAAGAAACTGTTCGTAAGTTCCGATCACTATAACATATTTAAAAAACTTATATGTACCAACATCAGGCCCACTTGGACATACGGAATTGAGCTTTGAGGCACTTCTTCCCCTATTCAATTCCGACAGTCAAAAATCCTCCGTAGAATCCTTAATGCTCCTTATTATGCTACAAATAAAATTATCCAAACAAATAAATAAAATACTTCAACAAACCCTTTGTTGTTGATTTGGCCCAAATCGGATATTCCGATTCTAAACTCTTCGGTCATCCTAAGCCTCAAGTTCATAAACTTTCATTCAAAACAATTCCTAACAACAGTCCGAGGCGTGAAAAGAAAATGGCCAAGGGTCCTCCTAAACTAATTTAGTCATTAAAGTGCCACCAATGGGTAAATTATTCACAAGTTCCTATCATATTTTATATTCTTATTTTATTTTTTTCATCTGTTAATATAATTAATATGTATAATTAAGTATACTTTCATTATTTGTCCTACAGAATTAAACCTTTACGAGAGTTTGACGCTCCTTCCGCTACAGTATTACCGCGGAAGACGCTTCTCCATGGCCTGTTGGTCTAGGGGTATGATTCTCGCTTCGGGTGCGAGAGGTCCCGGGTTCAAATCCCGGACAGGCCCTGGTTTTTTATCACGATTTCAATCGAATAATTAAAATTTCCTTAAGGCGGTTTGTTAATTAATCAAATTAAAAGGTGATTTAGTGAATAGTTTTCGTTTTGATAAGCCTCAAGTTCAAGATATTTCTACAGGTCCTTTCTTTAGTTCCTTTTTTCGATAAATAGTGTCATAAATCATTGAAAATAATTATCATTTTGACCTCGAAATATATTCGTAGATGTATTAGCTCTATATCGTATCTACATTATAAAAAAAACTCTGATTAAAGACAAAATTGTTAAAAAATATTAGAAGTAGTGTAACAGTGAAAAAATGTTATATCTATCGTCCCACAATTATATTTTAATGTATATATAAATACTGTGTTACGGCTGTAGCAGATCTAGGATTTATTTTTTTGAGAAAATTTGTTTTTTTTAAATTACATAAAAATACCATGAAAAAATGTTGACACATATCTGCTTGACCAAAGTTTTAAACTAAATCAACAACTAGCTTTCGAATTATTACCATAAACAATTACCTCTTCATTTTTAAAAACAATATAAATTTTCTTTTTTAAGAATTTCACTTATCAAAAGACAATGGTTACTATTTGAAAAAAATCTTTATTAAAATTTAACCGATACTAACAGTAAAAATTCCATCAAATACTAAAACCAAATTATAACAATAACTTATATGGACTATGTGGAAATCTTCAAAATTATTTTCAAACATTACCTGCAATTTTATAATCTACTAATTTAAAAGTAAAAATACACATTTTCAATTAAAATGTCCTTTATCTAATTCTTTATTTGTATTAACTGTATAATATAATTAATTGATTGTAATGATTTTAACTTATATGTATAAATCTATTTTAATACTTAAAAGAGTCCCAACCAATCATTATATAAAAAAAAAATATTGAAAGTTAATATGATGGAGAAGCAAAATAAATACATTGTTAAAGTTTCATAATTATTTTATTTACATGATTGCTAATAGAGTATTTTTAAAGATTTTAATATTTAATTTTTAATATGTACCTCACGAGTAAAAATTAAATTGAAATTGATTTTTTCAAGGTAAACTTGATTGGTCAAAATGATCATGTACCGTCGTGGAAAAATTGAGGGAAATACAATGAAGGGATTTATTTGGATAATCAAATATAATTTTATTTACAGAGGAACAAATAAAAATATTATCATATCTATATACAATTAAAAAAATTAAAAAGAAACTTTCAACATAATTATTATTATATTTGCATTAATAAAACCTATAAACTATATCTACATTTTATTGCATGCAAAACAGGATGAGCTTAATGCAATCTCAGACTAGACAAAGGCACTTAGTAAAAGGCCATAAAATCTTCTTTGGTGATGTAAAAATAATATAAATTTAATTTTAAAATATGTGCTATCAAATAAATATAAAAATTTAAATTCTCTAAAGATATATACATATAATTTAAATAATTACATTAAATAACTTGCTCTAAATGGACGGAAATTATTTACATTTATTAAAGCAAGGACCAAACTAATACTCAATTCTAACATTCGTGAAACTAATCTTTATGTACCTAAAATATCGAATGATAAAATAATAATCTGTAAAAAGAATTTCGTTTTAAATGCATCATTTTACAATTTTTAATAATTATTAAGTCAATTAAATAATATTCAATAATACTGTTTCTTTCGTTGTTAATAATTATTCAATGTTAATGCAATTATAATATAAACAATTCAGTGTTAATATTAGTTTAACAATTAATTTATTTCTATTGTTGAGAAATGAAGGTTATTGCTATACGAGTGGGGTAGATCAGTGGTAGGATAATGAGCTTCCAATGCTAAAGGTCCCAGGTTAGAATCTCGGCTCATGGCAGAAAATTTATTTATTCTGTTTCATTGGCCGTGGTGTGACCCTGGGTCAGGAGACCCTCCTGGGGTACTCCCAGCCTCTGTAAAGTGAGTAACCTTAATTAAATTATTAATTAAGGGGGAAAACCTGGCGGTTGAGCGTGATCTCGGTCAAATCACCTCCTTGCACAACCGTTGACCTAGAAACAGTGCTTTCCCTAAATAGTACTGAACCCAAGACCCTTCATGGGTTGTAGTGGTACAGGTTATTGCTATACACTAACAGTGTTACTTTTTATTAATCTTCTTTTTAATTCTTCCAAAATTATACTTGACGTATACGAAAAAGCTGACATCTGTCTGAATCTTTATTCATAGACGAAAAATAAAAAATAAAGAAAATTTAGATTATTTACGATACGTTATAAGATCTTTTATAACATTCATCTTAAATTTGATAATAGTTATTATTAAATTAGAACTCGGTAGAGTTTCTGTGAATCTGTTGATAATTTGAAATACTGTATTATTTAAAATTGTGAATTTCCTTTTTGAACGATATACTGATTCTTGGGTCAATAGCTGACCTAGATTTAGCAGTCTGTCGTACATCGCAATCTGATCATTCCGATTATAAATAAATGTAAGGCAAGTTCACGTTTAATTTGGATGTAAACTGATTTTTTATCCAAAGGCTTGCTTGGATTCCGAGCCTTCAGTGTGGTTTCTGAATGAAGAATAAGAAAATCTTGCAACATGTAGTATTATATGTAGTTTTTCTCGAGGATTGGGATTGGTGCTGTTTTGACATATATTACAAATAATCAATCCACTAAAAGTACATGGACACATAGCTTACAAAAATTGTTTCATAAGAAAAGTTTACAGGTCCTTGGTCGATAATTAGTCCATTTTCAGAATGAGTCCATTAGTTTAAACATATAATAAGACGAGGGTTGTCAGAGCCTCCAGAGCTGAGTCGACTCCCCCTCGTCGGCCTCGGGTCACCTGGCCCCAGACCTCTCGAGGAGCTCGGAGAGCGCGGCGATGTAGGACTGCGCCATCTGGAGGGTCTCGAACTTGGACAGCTTGTGGTCCTGGCCGATGGAGGGTATGACCTCGCGGAGGCGGTCGAAGGCCTCGTTGAGCCCGTTCATCCTCCGCCTCTCCCTGGCGTTGGCCGCTAGCCGCCGCCTCCTGAGGACCGTGGGGCTGGGCTGCCGGGGCGGGGCCCTCCTCCGCGGCTCCCCCCAGTCCCACCCGTTCCAGCAGCACTCCTGCCCTTCGCTCCTGCTATCGGCCACTGCTGTCTGCATCTCACGATCCTCTTCGTACCTGCGGCAGAATAGATTAATATATATATATATATTTAATACTTTATAAATAAATAATAAAACTTACGTTAACTTAAATAATAAAAATGTTTACTTTGTCTATCTGCCAAATACAAGTCTAGGCTTATCAGACTGATATTTTTCATTCCCTACGCTCCTAGGAATGGATAATTACATCCGTAAGTTAGATTTAAGAGAGTACTTTAATTTATTAAGTGTCAGTTTAGGAAAGATTGTACAAGTGATTACTCGGTACAATTCTCTTCATTCTGATATCCAATATAGCAATGTTATCATGTTTTCCATTTAGATTTACTAACCCTGATAGATCTTAAACAGACTATCAAAGCGCTCATAACCCTTCTAACCAGACTCCTTTCCGAAATCCCGCTTAGCTTCCCTCGATGAACTCAAAGTCCCTAGCTATTCTCTTATGGAACGCTAATGGACTGCAAAACCACCGCGACGAACTAGACATATTTCTCCATGACAATTATATTGACATTGCCCTCCTAACAGAAACTCACTTCACCCAACGGACACATTTCTACATACGTGACTACATCACCTATAGATCTGACCACCCAGACAACACTGCCCACGACGGTTCTTGCATCCTTATCCACAAATCTTTACCCCATTCCCTTATTCCTTCTATTCCAACAGATGCCATTCAGTCAACTTCTGTAATCCTCTCAACTCGTCCTTTCCATCTAACACTTTCAGCTGTATACTGTCCTCCTGGCAATTCCCTCTCGTACAGCCTACTTGAATCCTTTTTCCGAGGGATTGCGCTTTATTGCTGGAGGAGACTACAATGCTAAACACCAACGATGGGGTTGTCGATCATCCAACTCCCGTGGTAATACCCTTTCACAAGTTTCTTCTTCCAACAATTATTCCATCCTCTCGCCCATGAATCCTACTTATTTTCCAACATCCCTAAAAAAACGTACCGATATCCTGGACATATTTATCACCTCCCAGATTTCCTCCTCCCAAACTATAATCAAATCCCTGGATGACCTTTCTTCAGACCATAGTCCAGTTCTTCTTTCACTACATTCTGACTTTGCTCCTAAACCATCACTTCCAAAACTGATCACTGGACGAGTAAACTGGGACAAATTTCGTGATAATTTGGAAAACAAACTAGACCTCAAAATCCCGCTAAAAACAAAAGAAGACATTAATGGTGCCATAGAAAAACTGACATCATCAATAACAGACAGTATAAATAATAACACCTTTATCATTAAGATTGACTTCCCACAAAATACTAACTTGCCACAGCATATTCGTATCTTATTACAGGAAAAACGCAGAGCAAGATCGAAGTGGCATAGGACTAGATACCCAACAGATAAATCGCATTACACACAACTGACTAACAAACTGAAATCAGAAATTAGAAAATACAAAATTCAAACTTTACTAAATTTTACTGAAAAACTTACAACCACTGACAAATCATTATGGATGACCCCCAAAAAAATTCTTAAGTTTCAAGACTTTAATCACCCACTACTTACTGATTCCCAAACCTGGTTCAAATCCGACGAAGAAAAAGCCCAACTATTTGGTCAACATCTTTTCCCAACTTTTAATCCACATCCCGATATCCTTAATTCATCTCACATCAATTGTATTAAAGCAGAACTGGATATTCCTCTCCAAATGTCTCTGCCACCCAAAGCATTTCATCCCATAGAAATATCCAATATCATTCAAAAATTACCTTCCCGTAAAGCTCCTGGACATGACCTAATTACATCCCAGATCCTAAAACTTCTTCCTCGAAAAGCCATCCTATTCCTTACTTACATATATAATGCTGTACTCTGTTCTACATATTTTCCTGATCTTTGGAAACGATCTATTGTTAAAATGATCCACAAACCCAAAAAACCACCAGAATACCCATCCTCTTACCGTCCTACCTCTCTTTTACCCATCATGGGCAAAATCCTAGAAAAACTCATCTTAAAACGCCTGTACCCTATCCTAAATTCTAAACACATAATCCCAGATCACCAATTTGGTTTCCGAACTTCCCATTCCACTATACGGCAATGTCATCGTGTGGTAGACGTAGTCTCCTCTGCATTGGAGCGCGGAATGTACTGTACGGGAGTCTTTCTCGACGTTGAACAGGCGTTTGATAGAGTTTGGCACCCGAGACTGCTGTACAAACTCCGAAAATTCCTACCACCTACATACTTCCTCATTATCCGTTCCTACCTTACTGATAGATACTTTAAAGTAAATCACAATAACGCCTATTCATCCCTTTTTTCCCAGTCTGCTGGTATTCCTCAAGGTAGTATCCTAGGTCCTATCCTCTATACAGTTTATACAGCTGACATCCCTACCTGTCCCAACACTGTCATCACCACATATGCCGATGACACATGTATCCTATCAGTAAACAATGACCCAGCAATTGCATCCCAAATGCTTCAATCACACATCATAAATCTAGAAGAATGGTGTCAAAACTGGAGAATTAAAATAAACTCCAATAAATCCCACCAAATTACCTTTACCCTTCGTCGTAAACCAACGACTTCCTGTCCTACAGTTTCCTTTAACAATACTCCACTTATCCCTGTTGAGCAAATCCGATACCTAGGACTCCACCTGGACAAACGACTAACTTGGAATCCTCATACTAGACTGAAACGACAAGAAACCGCTCGACGTTTCCGATTACTTCAGCACTTACTAGACAAACGCTCTAAACTTCCCATTAATTACAAAAGACTTATATACTTGACTATAATAAGACCTATTTGGACTTACGGAGTTGAGCTATGGGGCTCCACTAAACCATTGAATTCCTCTCGCATCCAATCCTTACAATCCAAAATCCTTCGTAAAATCCTCAATGCTCCTTACTTTGTCACTAATAAAATTATCCATAAAGATCTTAATGTTCCTTATGTTTCAGATCTGGCACAATCCAGATACCTATCCTTCCATAATAAACTTCAGAATCATCCCAATCCTCTCGTTTCTAACCTTGCTTCCTCTTCAATTCCTGATAACCCTCCGAGGCGTCTGAAAAGAAGATGGCCCCGTGATCTCTTAATGTAGTCATATCATTAGAGTGCTACCATTGGGTAGTTATATTTTACAGGCAAGTGTATTCATGTCATTATATCAATTATGTCCAAATTTACTTGATGTACTTATGTAATACAGTTGTAAATGTCATAAAGAAAAAAAAAAAAAATAAATAAATAAAGATTTACTAACACTGGAGCCAGGGCCCAAAAATCGACCTGATCGCTGGCGAAGGATTGATTGTAAATTTTGAAAGTGTATGTTATTCTGAGTAAAAGAAACCTTGTCTGCCGGTCCAGAACCGCTGCTTTCAAAAATGGCGGCTGATTTAAAATATATTAGGCCAATAATTTGAGGATCGAAACGGGAAATCCATTGCAAAAAATGTGAGAAAAGTTTTTATTTTTTTAACTTGTATATATGGGTTTAGACATGTAAAAAACAAAATTGCTAACGCGGGCCACCAAGGGAAAACTTTTTACAGCCAAAAAAGTCAGATTTTTTCGATATTTTTTGGGTTTTTCACCTATAACTCCTAAACAATGCATCAAAGTGAAAACTGTATTTTTAATATAAATTTTGCGTCAAACGATTACATAAACATTTAAATTTGGTTACGCCGTAAGGTATAAAACCACGGTCAACCAAAGCTGAGTTTTACCAAATTTGTCAAAAACTGAGAAAAATTACTATAAATGGTCCTGTAACTTGAAAATGAGCTCCCTAAGTGGAAGAACCCATAGAATAAAAGTTGTAGAGCATCAAATTTTGCATCAACTGAGTACAAACTAATTTAATGTAGGTCTCTGGAAAAAAATCTGTAATCTATCAATGGTTAGAAATTGGTAATGAAGGTAAACCTGATTTTCAATATTTCAACAGTATGGGTGTCTTTTCTAATGAGTTAGTTTTGTTTAAAGTCTGTTACATGCAGTATAAGCTTCTTTTCCACCTCTTAACAGCAAAAGATTTTGGTAAACGATGTGTTCTACAACTTTGATTCTATGGGTTTTTCCTCTTAGGGAACTCATTTCCAAGTTACAGGGCCATTTATAGTAATTTGTCTCAGTTTTTGACAAATTTGGTAAAGTTCAGCATTGGTTGACCGTGGTTTTATGCCTTACCGCGTAACCAAATTATAAAGTTTATGTACTCGTTTGACGCAAAATTTATATTAAAAATACAGTTTTCACTTTGATGCATTGTTTAGGAGTTATAGGTGAAAAACCCAAAAAATATCGAAAAAATCTGACTTTTTTGGCTGCAAAAAGTTTTCCCTTAGTGGCCCGCGGTAGCAATTTGGTTTTTTACATGTCTAAACCCATATATACAAGTTAAAAAAATAAATACTTTTCTCACATTTTTCGCAATGGATTTCCCGTTTCGATCCTCAAATTATTGGCCTAATATTCTTTAAATCAGCCGCCATTTTTGAAAGCAGCGGCTCTGGAACGGCAGACAAGGTTTTTTTTACTCAGAATAACATACATTTTCGTAATTTACAATCAAACCTTCGCCTGCGATCAGGTCGATTTTTGGGCCCCGGCTCGAGGGCTATAGGACTGCTCTGGACAAACGTCTAACTTGGAATCCTAATACCAGACTGAAACGACAATAAACAGCTCGCCGTTTCCGACTACTTCAGCACTTACTAGACAAACGTTCTAACCTTCCAATTAATTACAAAAGACTCATTTACACGATTATAATATGGCCTATTTGGATTTACGGAGTTGAGCAATGGGTAGTTACATATAGTAACTAAAATTGACAAGTATTAGTAATTATCTTGCTTCAATTTTCATTCATAAAATCGATTTTTTTTACCAATCGCAAAGTGCAAGACCGAGACCGATTTTGGGCAACACTAAAGGCCGGCACTACTTAAAAGTTACGAGGAAAAATAGACTGCAAGA